GGGGGGACAAGACCTAGCCCTGTGGCACACCACATTTAAGGGGCCTAAGAGTCGACCTGTGTCCCCCGACCAACACCAACTGCAACCTGTCAGAGAGGTAAGAGGAGAGGAAAAGGTGAGAGTGCCTCTCACTCCCACCTCCTCCAACCGTCGCAGAAGGATACCATAGTCGATGGTATCAAAGGCCTCTGAGAGGTCAAGAAGCACTAGGATACAGGAATGTCCTCTATCCCTGGCCCGCCAGAGATCATCGGTCAGTGCGATCAAAGCGGTTTCTATGCTGTACCCAGGCCTGAAACCAGACTGAAAGGAATCTAGATAATCTGCTTCGATCAAGGTCCATCGGAGATGAAGCGCCACCACCTTCTCAACAACCTTTCCCAAGAAAGGAAGGTTGGAGACAGGACAATAGTTCTTAAGAATAGCTGGGTCCAGAAAAGGCTTCTTGAGGAGGGGCCTTACCACCGCTTCCTTTAATGGTTGCGGGAAGGACCCCTCCTGATCATCTGGAGCCAGCCTCGTGTTACCTCCCTGCTGGTCGAGACCAGCCAGGAGGGGCACGGGTCCAGTAAGCAGGTGGAGGCACTCATTGCTCCCATGGCCTTGTCCACTTCTTCAGGGGTGACAAACCCGAACTCATCCCAACTACTCCAATGAGTTCTTCTTACGCCTGCCCTTGAAGACTACTAGGCAACTGCAATTGGCCCAAAATGCAGAGGACCATGTACAGTACTGTCTGGCTCCTGACATTGGGAGCATGTAACATCAGCTTTGTGAACCTGCATTTGGTTGCCAATTGGTTGATGCTACAGTTTACAGTCTGCAGATATCATCTTTTTCAAGGCACATGAAATGAAAAAAAGACATATTTCTGCTGAGTATTGTTATGAGATAGTCAGGAACAAAAGACCAGGTCTATACATAAAGGTAGGATTAAACTGATTTATTGCTAAACAGTCTATACACAGGAATATTCTCAACTAATGGCTAGCGCCGACTGGAATTAGATAAGGGTCAACCAAACCTTTGGATGGAGTGTTGAAGAGCCCATTTGTGGCTACATAGATATTCTGAGCTAATTCCTCTTTTGCTCCCACCCTCAGGTTATGCCACTCCTTCCCCTAGAGTTACTTACTACTTAGATAACAGGCTGCAAAATAACTATTCCCAACCAATCTTATATTGGTGGAATTAAGAAACTGATAGGCATCAGCAGACTCCTTTTTTTAATGGGAAATATAAATAGTGCTACCTCTAATCAGTCATTGGTATATACTGTCTGGCTGACAAATGACATTACTTGTTTGTTATATTTACAAAACCTAAATCATGCAATATCTTTCAATCTCCATATAAACCATATTTCCATAGTTAAGATTTTAGCAAGGCTAAAATTAATGACAAATATTCTGAACATACAATGTATTTGAGGATCACCCAACCTTGATTGATCACAATAAATACAGAATGCTGAACTAAAGAGGACCAACAATAAGTATTCTCTCTCTCTCTCTCTCTCTCTCTCTCTCTCTCTCACACACACACACACACACACATCATATTTTGTAGCAGGGATTGTATAGCCACCATCGTGTCTTGCTAATGGCAGTTGTTTACTACTTTTGATTTGCTAAACTATCATCTACCTGTCTACCTATCTAAAGTGAAGACATATAATTTATGGCCATGTTTATGAAAAGGGACAGATATTATGATGATTGCAATGTATGGCTGTGAAAGTTGGATCATAACAAAGACTGAGCGCCAAAGAATGAAAGCCTTTGAACTCTGGTGCTGGAGAAGACTCCTGCGAGTCTCTTGGACTGCAAGGGAATCAAACCGTTTAGTCCTAGAGGAGATCAAACCTGGCTGCTCTTTAGAAGACCAGATTCTGAAGATGAAACTCAACTACTTTGGCCACCTAATGAGAAGGAAGGACTCACTGGAGAAGAGCCTAATGCTGAGAACGATTGAGGGCAAAAGAAGAAGGGGACGACAGAGATTGAGGTGGCTGGATGGAGTCACCGAAGCAGTAGGCGTGAGCTTAAATGGACTTCAGAGGATGGTACAGGACAGGAAGGCCTGGAGGGACGTTATCCATGGGGTCACGATGGGTCAGACATGACTTCTCAACTAACAACAACATGTAATACCTATCAACAAGTCTTGAGATTTAATATGACATCCTGGATTTAAACCATTCCATCNTAATATGATCTGCCTAATGACTGGCTGGGTGGGTATGGCAAGGTGGTCATGTGATTGGGTGGGCGTGGCCAACTCAATGTCACTCACGTCAAGGGGTGCCTTGCCAGCCTCTACTCTCCACTCCCCACCCAGGCTCCTTAGGGTCCCAACAGGAAGCAGTTGCTGAAACTAAGCAGCCACCATGAGAAAGAGTTGGCATAACAGCTGGTTCAATTTACATTGGATCTGACTGAGAAGGAGGCTCAGCAGAAGCACCTCACTGAGAACTACGAGCATAGGCTTTCCAAGCAGAGGGAAGACCTGTGGGAGTGCAAGGCCAGGTGCTAGGGCCTGGATGCTCAGCAGGCTGAGATGGTCAGCCACTTCCAGGCCATGATGCTGTCCCACTGGAACGAAGCTCTCTGGCTCTTCACCACCAGAGGCACCTCCCTCCAGACTTTGCCCAAAGCCCCTGCACCAGGAGGCTGAAGCAGACCCCAAGTTGGAATTTCTGCCCCCCTCTGACCTGCACAAAAAGGCTCCGAAGGGGGAGACTCTCTGCAGCAACACAAACGTTCATTGCACATATCTGGCCCAGGGGCCGTAGTTTGAGGACCACTGATTTAATGCCATATAAAAAATGCAAATAATTTTTCCGCAGACCACCAAAATTTTCTCGCAGACCACCAGTGTTCCATGGACCACCAGTTGGTGACTGCTGATGTAGAGAGGGAAGGATAGATAGATCCTTGAGTCAGAATATAAAAGGCATTTCTTAGCAGAAAGATCCAATCTGTTTCTCTCTGGGCATGCTACAGGTTTTACTCATGCATAAATTCCTCTGATGCCACAATGAAACATTTTCTCATTGTAATGTGATTTTGGTGACCCATGCCACTTTGGGAAGAACATTTTAATTTTTAGAATATAACTAGGTAGACGATGGATTATTCTAAGACCCAATTTGCATATTATGAGCATGAATTCAATAAACATCATTTCTCCACATTGGATTCTTCAGCACACATGGAAACTAAGCTATGAATAGTCTATGCAATAGTCTATGGTATTTTCTGTAGCTAAATCTGTGGGATCAAATGGCAAGAAAAGACAATTGTCTTTCAGAATCTTAAAAACAGCCTCCTAGGGTTTTTTTTTTTTCAACTTAGCAAGCAGGGACCAAAACGTTATCAACTCACATTTCTGTGTTCTTGTGACATGAAACCACAGTGAAAAACTATCAAATGGAAGAAATAATAATAAAAAAGAAGGAAAAAATGTCCTTTAAAAAAAAGCATAAGAAAAGTGACCAATACGTCTCAAAAAGTTGATTAAAGTTTGCCCTGTTTTATCGAGTAAGGACTCCCAGATTAAGAGAGAAAGTGATTTATTATCTTTTCCCCCTAACGTAAGTGTATACATATGTATGAATACGGGCATGTACCTTACCAAGATGCTTTGGAAATTCAATCTATCATCCACAAAAGTATGTATGTTATGGAAATTATGCTGGGCTTAATTATAGTTAATGTGAATTATTCAAAGCATAGCAGGGAGACGGGGGAAAAACATACAAAGGAGCCTGACATTTTAATTGGTCCTTCAGAACAGACAAAACAATTTCCTCTCCAGGAAATTTACATCTCTCCCATCAAAACAGTTGCCTCATGTGAGCAGAACTTCATTAACAAGATTAATTATCATGCCTTGTGCCTGCTCATCAGGTGTGCCAGTCAGGTGAAGAGGTGAACACAAGGGAGGGAAAGTTAAGGATTGGCATTGACTCTAAAAGGAAAGAAGAGATAGAAAGAACATCTTACCTTGATCATTAGCCATTTTGTCAGGATGTTCCACTGCAAAAGCAAATACAATATTGTCAGATTTTTGACACTTTCTGGGATGTACATTGACACATCAAGTCAACAATTCTGTTAACCAAGTTTTATTTCAAGATGGTGCCACTTCACACTTTTCCTTGGCAGATTGATGGGCAGAAAAGGCGAGATTTTAGCATTTTGAGAGACTGGAAACGCAAGTGTGACTTGGATCATCTGTGACTCATTACTAATGAAGTTAGATGTTGCCTTTCTGAATGGGGGAGTAATCCACATTGTTTTCCTTTTAGAAGTGAGGTATCATCTGGAAAGCTTAATTAAATGTGAAAATGAGATGGAAGAGAGATTGTTCCTTTGAATAATTAGACACAAATCCTCCTGTGTGATAGTTCTGAAAGCCAGTTCTGAAAGCTAGTTCCGACTGAAGTGGTTAACATTTTAAGCCCTTTCAAAAAGTGATCTCGCTGACTTTTCATGATAATTATCAAAAGAAAATTCAATTACAAAGAGCCTAGTCAAATGCCTAAGATTTTTACATATTGCTAGAAGTCCTAAAGTACAACCACAAACTCTTCATTAAACTGTAGACAGCCCAACTCAAGTTCAAAATCACATAGAATTCTAATCATCATCCTATATTGTTTCAAAACCCAAAGGTGCTTTTCCAAAAGGCTTTCTTGTTTTTTCCCTCCTTGAAAACGTTTCACTTCTCATCCAAGAAGCTTCTTCAAGTTCTGAAGAAAAAGCACCTTTGGGACAAGCATGATTTGGATGATTATGAATCTCCATAGACATATTGTTTCAAAATATTTGACAGAGGTTAAAAAAAAGTTTCCCAGGCACGTTGTCTGACAGCACTGTACACAGTATCTCTATTTGGTAGCCATGTGTCAAAGAAACATCTGAATAGGATTTTCCCTGGGCCTGATTATCTAATCTTGTTCCTCTTCACTCTGTTTCTATTCAAATCAGAGGACACTTCACATGTTCTTCCTAGAGCTAAGTTAACTCATCTTCGTGATTCCTCATACTGTGTCAAGGAGACTTCCAACTAGGACTATCTTCAGCTGGTTACAGTATGCAGCGGCACTGGCAGTTATGTGTCTGTTGTGATCTGTAAGCCGCCAGCCCCTCCAGCAGCTGAATCAGAGGAGGAGGAGGAGGAGGAGNACGTTATCCATGGGGTCACGATGGGTCAGACATGACTTCTCAACTAACAACAACATGTAATACCTATCAACAAGTCTTGAGATTTAATATGACATCCTGGATTTAAACCATTCCATCACCATCTCATATAGACAACAAAATATATATGTGGGGGATGCCGGAGGTCTGGAGGAATGTTATCCATGGGGTTGGGATGGGTCGGACATGACTTCACAACTAACAACAACAACATTATGATGATTAATTCTAAAAATACTAATCATAATTGTTTACTTCCTTCTCACCAAAGACTACATAATCCTAATAATTGCTAAACTCTTGAATCTTCTGGTTCTTTCAGGTCCTCTTTTTAAAAACAAAACAATAAGAATGATGGCCAATTATATTCTATTATCTCCAGAGCCTGCTGTGTATTCCAACTTCAGTAACTCTTTCAAATCCCTTAAGCACTGAACATATTACCTTTTCATCTGTTTTATAAAAACCAGGAGTTTGCAGGTGTGGGTGCGTGTGGCAACCTTTTGGGTAAGGAGACAAATAAGCCTCTTTTTTTGAAAAAAAAAATCTTTCTCACTCCCTCTCTTCCATCTCTGTGCTTACTGTAGATATCCCCAAATCAGAAGAAAATGTGCTGCTTTCTTGGAAAACAGCTTTGAAATCCATCTGAATCTCTCCTGTCATTGACCTACGCTGTCTTCCATTTGACAATCTTCCTCTACACAAACATACACACACACACACACACAACACGTACACATAGACGTAGTAAAGGAAACATCAGGAATGAAAGTTTTGCTTTGTTCGTTCTGGTCTGTTTTTGATTCCGTTTTTGTTTTTTTTTGTTTTTAGTGGCAAAGAGGCCTCCAGCGTAGAGCAAAGCATCTGGGCAAATGCCGGAATTAGAAAATAGAAGTAATTTGCAGAGATGCCACCGCCAGCTGAGTGGAAGCATTGTGACAAGACAGACTAGACATTTTCTGGTTTGCAGCCAAGCAACATTGAGCAGCGACACTTCTGTGCTTCGCGTAACCAAGCAGCAAAGCACTTGCTAGAGTCCAAGGAAGACAAAGGACGAATTGTCCTGTTTTGTTACAAAAGCAAATAGAAATAAAATAATAATAATAATAATAATAATAATAATAATAATAATAATAATAATATTGCAATAACAAGGTTACAATCATAGATATT